TCGTTTTGTTGTCATGGTCTTCCTCCTTTCTGCTCCTCCGTCCGCCTCCTCCTTCTCCATGTCTGCATCCTCCTTCCGCTCCTCCTCCTCCTCCTCTTGGTCATCATCATGTACTTGCTATAGCCTCCCCCGCTCCCTTCCCTGCTCATGCCACGTGGCACCCTTTTTCCTTTTTTTTTCGGATCTTTGTCGTCATGTTCCTCGTCTTCATCCTCCTCCCGCTCCTCCCCGTCCACGTCTTTGCCCTCCTCCTGCTGCTACTCCATGTCTTCGCCCTCCTCCCCCCCATCTTGGTTGTTGACATGTGCTTGCTATAACCTCCCCTCCCCGCCCCTACCTGTGCCACATGGCCTTTTGTTTTCAACCCATTTGCAGTACTTTGTATAGCAGGCTTTTTTTTTTTTTTTTTTTTTTTTTTTAATCCGGACATGTACACCCATCCGGACAGGGATCCGGACAGGCCGATCCGGACATGTCCGGTTTAACCGGAAAATACTGGAACTCCGGACGCTCGGATGAAACCGGGGAATCCGGTTTCCGGTGTCTGGACTTGTCCGGTTCACTTGTCCGCCGCTGCCATGATCCAGAGCCCTTCCGCTTACTTGGCGTTCAGCGCCCAGACTACTATCACGCAGCTAGTACCAGTCTGCGAATTGACAATGCAACCTGTTGATGTCAGCAGCAGAACCGAACTACATGAAGATGTGCACACTTGTAGACCATCGCCAAGACCAGGTACGCCCTTTCTCTCTCACCCTCGACTTCTATACCCACGTCTTCTCCCTCATACACACGAAGACCACCACCACTTTCCGCTGGCTGTCCAAGCCCAAACCCGGCTACATGGGCTGGGCTATGGCGCTGCCCTCAGCAGCGCCCTGCCTCTTGCACAACCGCAGGCGCACACTTCTCCACTGGCGCTAGCAGCAGCACGCGAGCGCTCGCTCCAGCAGCGCTGCCGCCCACTCTACCAAGTGCCCGATCTCCATGCGGAAGCCCGGCCGTTTTCTATATGGAAAGTGGTGCGCGCATCCCACTTGCTTGGCCCGTGAGACCGAGTTTCCAGTAGCTTCAGTCTCGGCCAAAGTGTCTGCGCCCAGGCCCGTTCACACAGTGGCCTGGGACCGATGTGGTTAGGCATGCCCAACCACCCAGGCACAACGTGCAGTGTTCCCTGCTTCAACCACGTTGCTGGAAAAGCCTGGAAGGCTCACAAATATTTCCGATTCTCACTAGCAAAGCGGATGTAACCAACTGGCGCGTGGCAACTGTCTGGCAGACTGGCACCCACCAAGATTTGCAAAAATTGATAAGTTCAGGGCACATTGAGATTCAGGGGGCCCGCCTTTACTTAGGGCGGGCACGCACCTGCTGCAGGGCCTTATGCCGAGGGGTAAACCCTCGCACATGGACAACAGAAGAGGAAAAGCAGAGAAACAGCACACTTTTTTTTGCAGTTTAACAACTGTAGGATTATTGTCAATTGCTGCAATTCTGTAATACACCCAGCCCATGACAGTGTACCATTGCAGCACATGCATGCAATTCTCGGTAAATGGGAAGTGAAATTTTATAAACAAATTAAAATAAAAATTATGCGTCTGTGTTGCCAACCGGGCCGTCTGTGTCACGGTGGTTGCCCGGGCAGCCTGGTTGGGCAAGGGCCAAAAAAAAAAAAAAATCCAAAAAATATATGTTGTAGTATGTACAGAAAAATAAGCTGAACAACTTTTCCCTCAGGGTCACATCAATTTGTTTTGCCAAATTAAAAATAAAAATCAAATCAAAAAATATATTATTTCTTTTTCTTTTTTTTTTTCTTTTTTTTAACCCATTTTTGGCCAGGCCGGGCAAAGTGTTCCCGGGCCACTCTCTTTAACGTAGTTCTGCATAGCTTTCATTTTGAACCGAATGCTATGCATTATATGTACGGTACTGCACCTTTTCTTTTTTTTTAATAAACAGGTCCTTATGGTCCTACTCACGCATCCTGCCATCTGGCTGAAGCATCCCTGATCAGCATTGTTTGCTAATAAGTTAGTAGTAACCAGTTGTTTTTTTGTTTGTTTGTTTGTTTGTTTGTTTGTTTGTTTGTTTTTTTGGGTGTGTGTATACCAGTCTAGCTGTTAACTAGTAAATTAGTAATTACTAATTAGTAATTAGTCTATTTTTAGCCACCCATTTTTCTTTAGGTGGCCCGAGATCACCGAGGGTCAGTTTAAAGTTTAAACTTCAAACTTCAAAGTTTAAAATGCATCTGATCAAATCAGATATAACAACTACTATGTTAGGGGTTATCCTCTGCTCGAAAGCGGGAAAAATAAATAAATAAATAAATGATGTCAGTTTGCCTCAGTTGTGAACTTGTCACCCACTCTTTTTTCCCTTTTCGTTTTCCCTAAGCTGACCACAACAGAGCAGTACACTTGGTCTTTTAGCCAGAAGGCGGCGAAAGGTATAGTTGTTAGTACTTGTCACCCGCTTCTGAAAACCTACTTACACGGGTCAAGTTGTTAGTAACTTAGTACTTGTTACCCTCTCCAGGTTTTCAGAAACCAAGTCAAGTTTGTTGTTGCCCCACTTACACAAGTGTGTTGAATCATGAAATACATGTGACAACATATGTGCACGCTCTAAATGTGGGTGGGGTCGCTTATGTTTGTGCGCAAGTAGCAGGTTTGAAAACCGTGCCCTTTGGTGAGAAAACCGTGTTCGGCCGGGGTTCTTCACGATGTCAGGTCGCTAAAGACATTCTGCAAAGGTCGCAGACCACAGTGGAGGAGTAGAGAAGTTGCGGATGATCTTAAGGGACGCAGCGCGTATCTCGAGAAATCGCAAATGATTGTACGGGCTGCAGCGGATATCTAGAGAAGTTGCGTTGCGCACAGTCGCTGACAGCTGTCTCAATATGCCTGTGGAATATCAGACGCAACGCTGCCGCGTTATGGAAACATAAGGGGGATGAAAGCACAGAAGGCAAGATCATGCCGCTCCATTTGGTCAGGTCATATCAGTTTGACTCCAACAGGATCCTGTCCGTGACGGTGTATGGAATTGAACCGGCGATCTCTGGCATAATACCCGGACGTCTTCGCCATTTAGGGAAGGACGCCGTGGAGCTATACCATGTGGAGAGGCCAAGGGAGGACATTATAAGAACAGAGAAGACAGCAATGGCGTTGGATGTTATGCGTGATGCGGCACGGAATCGAACCGCCAATCTCTGGCATGAGAAGTAGCTGGACTACCCTGGATATCATTTTGCCATTCAGACCATGAGTGCACAGAGATGTATCATACATACGGAGAGGGCGGCAAGAAAGGAAATGTTAAAATTGGATATGATTCCAATGTCCTGGATCCTACTGGTGAGATACGGTATGGAATCAAACCGGCAATCCCTGGCATACGTCAGAGAGGAGGACATTCCAAGTAGCTGGATCGTACGGAGAGGGGGGGCAAGGAAGGAAATGAGGAAAACGGATATGATTCCAATGCCTTGGATCCCCCTGGTGATACAAGATGGAATCGAATCGTCAGTCCCTGGCATAAGACGTGGACATCTCAGTCATTTGGTGCAAGACTAGATGGACACATCCCATGCAGAGAGACAGCAAGAGGAGGGACACACTAGGAAACCGATTAGATGAAACAATACTTTTGGTTCCCATCGGTGATGCGACATGGAATTGAACCGGCAATCGCTGGCATAATAGGTGGATGTCTCTTTTCCCATTTAGGCAAGGGAGATGTCCCATGCAGAGATGGCAAGGAGGGACATGACGGATACAGATTAGATGCCAATCAATGCCTTTGGATCCTATCGGTGATACGGCATGGAATAGAACCGGTGATTGCTGGCATAATAAGTGGATGTCTTTTCCCATCTGATCAAGGGCTACATGGAAGCTCGCGGCACTCAATTCAAAAGTACGCGAGGTACTGCCGGAGGACGTGACATCCCACAGTGTAAAACACCTTGTCGCGCTTTGCACAAGGTATATAATAGGTGGATGCTTTTTGCCCATTTGGACAAGGGCTACGTGGAGCTCGAGGCATCCAATTTGAAAGTACACAAGGTATTTCTGGACGCGACATCTCACAGCGTGGATGCTTTTTCCCCATTTGGGCAAGGGCTACATGGAGTTTGAAGGACATGATGAGCTGTCAAGCAAGGAGGGAGGATATGATGGAAACGGAATCTCAAACGGATACAGATGCGAGTTCCAACAGACTGCAAGAAATTTCTGACAGCTGGGTGCAAATGAAATTGGCCTTCTTGTGATCTGGAATTTTCATCTTCGGTCCCAGGGCTGGAGCAGGATGTGGCGGTTAACCGCAGGAAAGAAAACTCGAAGGGCAAGTAAGCTTCGCAAGGGAAGCTTGAGAGTCCCGCCCGTAGTCGAGTGCTTGTTCAGATAAAAGGGGGGGGGGGAGGAGTCCGGCCAGCCATCAGGAATGGAGAGCAGTGAGCACAATAGGAGAGAAATGGAAAAGGGGATTTGGGGACAGGGACATCCCCGCAAAGGTGATGAAAGTGGGAGCCCTGTCCTGTGAACAGGTACGGAGGATGAGATAAAGGCATCATGCATCAATGCCATCTCTTTGCATGGCCCTTGGGTTGGTGGACAAAACTACCGAAGGTTGAAGAGCAGGCAGAAGAAACACGGAACCTGTAAAGCACCCTTGGTTTGGGGGACTGCAGCGGGAATAGGGAGGAAGTGCATGCTTTTGCATGTTAAGCGCTTCTATAGCAATCGCGTTGATTCATCGATCAGGGAAGCACTCCCTGTGGTCTTCCAGCAGAAACCCCGTCTTTCATTGGGGTAAAAAATTGTAAGTTCTACATTCTTTGTATGCTTGGATAAATCTCATGTACAGTGTCCACACAATTTCAGATTTATTTATTGGTTTAATTAACTTTAATAAGTGGTTACCCTCCTCAGCTTCACCTGTGGCAGAGAGGAGGGGGGGGGGAAGGGAAGGAGGGGGGAAGTGGGGGAGGAGGTCGGGGCAGGTTCAGGAAGAAAGAGGAGGCCACAGAAGGGGAGAGTCCTCTCTCTCTCTCTCTCTCTCTCTCTCTCTCTCTCTCTCTCTCTCTCTCTCTCTCTCTCTC